TTTCAGGCAGGCCATTAATCTAGGAAGTGACATGATTTGTGCAAACAGGAGGTTTTTGCTTTGGTGAGAGCTGCTGACTGCAAGCCAAGGCAGGCACCAGTTGCCATACAGAAATAGGAATGGTATGCTAGACTGTGTTAGCCTAAGGTATTTGTGTTCAATTCCAGGAAGTGGAAACAGAGCAATACTTCACCCTTTTTCTGCCAGCCTTGAAAGAACGAGGATACGATGGATTTTTTTCTCCAAAGTCACGTGCCAAAATCATGTCTGAGCAGGAGAAAAAGCATGTGGATGGCTGTGCAATATTCTTCAAAACTGAAAAGTAAGGGGCAGAAGCAGCTTTTTAAAAATACATTAAAACCAGCTTGATTTAGGTCCGAAAGCTCTCCTCAGGGCACATGGTAGCTAAAGTACTATAAAACAAAAGAGAAAGGTCACGACAAAGAATGAGCCTCCCTTCCTTTTTGCTGCTCTGTTTGCAACACAGCCCTTCCATTCATTTCAGAGATGAACAAAAATACTTCTTTAGAAACTTGGGAAGTTGCAGGAGAGTTGCAGGAAAGTGAAAACTTGCATGCTTGTGTGCACATTTTTTGGCAGGTCTAATAAATACCTTCTCTACAAACTTCTGCCTTACTTGACAGCAGTTTCATCCCTCTAAGAGTAAAGATCTAGAAACTGTGCTGGCTTAATCATCAGGTATTAAAAGTTGTATTACTGCCAAAGGATGGCAGAATATTCTCTGCTTTGTGAATCAAGACATTATTGAACACCTGATCCAAAGGGTTCTGCTACACTAAAAGCATCAAACTATTGGGAAGAGAGGAGAGGTGCTGGCATTCATACTTGTCAACATAAACTGCTCACAGGTTGTACCACACTGAGTATCCCTCTGAATATTCCCTCAACAGTTTTCAGTAATTAGAATGGAAGTTGTGCAAAGGCTTAGCTCTCTTTCAGAGTTTTCACTGCTTCCAGAAACAAAAATAAACCTTTCAGATCATGTATAAAAAACAATCTGACTGGGTTTGACTAGAGGAAGTCTGTGAAAACAAACAACTGATGTTTTTCAAACCTTGAAACTAACAAGGGTATATAGAGAACTGATTATTATGCTTTGGCTCTCACAGGTGAGAACAGAAGACTAATAACACTTTTTTTCTTAGAGCACAAACAAAAACAACCCCAACTTTCAATAGGTAGCCTTCAGTTTGTCCTAAAGCAAGGCGCTTTGGGGCAGCCTAAGGCTGGAAGGGAATAAAAAACCAATTTCACAAAACTAGTGCTGGTAGCTGGTGGTTTCAAAGAAGCTGTTTTTCCACAATCCATTTGCCCATAGTAAAAGGCAAGCCTTTAATTACCATCTCATCTTAATTGTTTTTGCCCAGAACACTCCAGAAGAGGTGCTCTGAACAGTCCTCTTGGAGTGCTGTGCTGAAACAAGTAAACACCTCCTAAACCCCAGGTATCTCATCTCCCATAAGAGCATCTTGCTTGCCAGACCAAGGGCTCTAACCTGACTGGGGGAATACTTCTTAGAACTGTTTATACGTTTATAAAACAAGCAGACAAAAGAAACGTGCCTCACCTGATGCCTGTAGGCTCTGTCCTTAGACATGGTAGACTGGAGTGCAAATAGAAACCACATCTTTCCTTGTAGCTGTACATCAGACACATGTTCACATGTGGTTCTCTTTGTTTAATCAGGTTTACACTAGTGCAGAAGCATACAGTGGAGTTCAACCAAGTGGCCATGGCTAACTCTGAAGGTTCAGAAGCTATGTTAAACAGAGTGATGACAAAGGACAACATTGGAGTTGCCGTGGTGTTAGAGGTGCACAAAGAATTATTTGGAGCAAGTAAGTGTGATTGTGGTTTTCTTATTGATAACTCAAAGCCTATAAGGGCATGAGTTATTCCTAAACAATAGGGCTCTCTAGAGCTGGCAGTAACCAAATACTTACAGATGAGCAAATGCTGTTCACTGTGCTAATTTGAGATATGATAGCCCATCAGTGGGTAAGACAGGACACACATGACATGATTTCCTGGTCCACAGCCAGATGCCCAGCATTTAGCTTTCTCCTTTCAAGTTTTTGTCCCTGCTTACTTACTCTGTTAATTTCGACTTGAAGAATTAAGCTCTTCCAAGGTCAGCATGTTTACATGCACAAGCTCTTACCAGTCATTGTCAATAATATTCAACTTCTATTTTCAACTTTTTTCCCCTTGATTGAATCCTTCCATCCTCCCCCAGTGATTATAAGACAGTGCTAATGTACTGATGCAGAAGAATGAGATTAACAGGTATCTTTTCATGCCACTTGATTGACTGGCTGTCACATTCTCATTTAGGTTTGATCAGATGGAGTAGACAATTTCAACGTACTTAAAATTGCCACCCTGCTCTGTCTGCGTGTCTGGTTTTTTTGATGGCTTGTTGCCAGTGTAGCCTTCAAAGGAGCAGAATGTCTAAATTGGAGGAGTGAAAGGAACTGCCTGTGGCTTTATGCCCCATCTTTCAGAGTACTGTTTCTCAGATAAATAGTAAAAGCAGCTACAGTGTTAAGCAGCAGCCAGGTTTGTACTGTATTTAAGCATTAACATTTAAGCATTAACATTTAAGCAGGTTTAAGTTTTTTCCCAAGGGAACAATTTGCTGCACTGTGGCAGCTAAGAGTTAGGAAACTCCCATGTGCCTTTAATATTGAATAGTGGTGCAAGGTCAAGTGATGGCCACTTGAGGAGTAAATAAGGAATGCAATTATAAGAGTTTCAGATTATGCTGGCTGTTTCTTTTCTATATGGGACAGATTTAGTCATGTAATACTATGTAAATGCTGCTGATTTAGAAAGGAGTAGTTATTCAGGTAATGCCTCTTTTTCCAGCAATAAAAATACATCCATCTGTTGGCGTGTCTGACTTGGAGTCCTTAGTAGCTAGACCCTGAGTGTTCACAGGTAGGAATCTGCTATATTCCCACAATCAGCCTTTCACTGATAAAAATGTCTTTGTTTATTCAGGTATGAAATCACTTCATGTGGACAAACAGCTGCTTATTGTCGCCAATGCCCACATGCACTGGGACCCTGAATACTCAGACGTGAAACTCATTCAGACGATGATGTTTGTCTCAGAACTGAAAAATATCCTCGAGAAAGCCTCAAGCAGGCCCAGTAGCCCAACAGCAGATCCAAACTCTATCCCTCTGGTGCTGTGTGCAGATCTCAACTCATTGCCTGATTCAGGTAAGACTGGTTTTGGCTCAGTTTTTAACTTACCTTCTTAGAATGGTTGAATCCTCTTTGCCTCTGAGGACAGTAGTGTGGTTTGCACTTCCCTGGATGAAAACTTTGGTAGCAACAGCTGTCTTTTGAAAGCTGGCTGAAGAGAATTCTCATCCTATGGTTGAGTAGGCTGCTTGTCACAATCGGCTGTATGCTCCAGAAAAACTGGTTGTGCCTATAAGGAGGTAGAAGAGCAGATAGATCTTAATTAGGTCATTAAATAAATACCCATGCCTTGAGCAGCAGAAATAAGTAGGGAAGTTGGGAGTTCATGATGGAACATCAAAATTTTCTAAGGAGGTAGGTTTGCTTTAATAATGATGACATTCAATACTGTAACGTCAGGTATAAGTAGAAAATTCGCCTCTTTAGCACCGTGGCACATGCACAGTACAATACATGTACTAAGGGTTTATTGTAATCCTCAAAAAATAGTGTCAAAGCCACCGGAGAGCCTCAGTTCCCTGTCTGCATGTCAGAAAGTTGGACAATACAGCTGCTGTGTAAGTTTCCCTTTAGATGAATGCTCTTCTCTAATCTCATGGTGTGTCTTACTGGTGTTTTGGTTTTAACTCTGGGGCCAACGTTCCCTGACTGTTGCATTTTAAAGGAACTCCCTGAATCATTTCCTTTGCAAACAGGTGTAGTGGAATACTTAAGCAATGGCATAGTAGCTGACAACCACAAGGACTTCAAGGAGTTGCGTTATAATGAGTGTCTCATGAACTTCAGTGGCAATGGAAAAAACGGGGCTTCTGAAGGAAGAATCACGCATGGCTTCCAACTCAAGAGCGCCTATGAAAACAACTTGATGCCTTACACCAATTACACTTTTGATTTCAAAGTAAGCAGTGATTTTTCTGAAATGGCAGACATTGACCTGGTCTCTCCAGGATGCTGTCTTAATTTTCTGACCATTGGCTGTCTTTCCCTCTGTTCCTGTAAGTGCTTCATCACTTGATTCCTCCACTTGCTGGACACTTTTCCTACCGCACACAAATCCTTGATTTACTGGCATTTTTAAACTTCTTACCTGGCTCTGGCCAGTGACTTAATGCGAACGGATGTGCAGCGCTTGGAATGGGAAATGCTGCCCGCGTTTCTTACCTTAATACCAGCGCTGTGCCTCTTTCCAAGGATAGCAGCCAGAAGCCAGTCGAGTTCAGGTTGCCAGAAGCGAGCTCTGTTCTCACTGTCGTGTTTCTCTTTCTCCCTAGGGTGTGATTGACTACATTTTCTATTCCAACACTCACATGAACGTGCTTGGTGTCCTGGGGCCTTTGGACCCTCAGTGGCTGGTTGACAACAACATCACTGGGTGTCCACACCCTCACATCCCTTCAGACCACTTCTCACTGTTAACACAACTCGAACTCCATCCTCCGCTCCTGCCTCTTGTCAACGGTGTGCACTTGCCTAACAGGAGGTAGTGGAGCCCTGCCCCTTTGAGGGCAAGGACCTGTTGTTATGGACCTGTACAGTTGTAAATCAAAGTATATAGGAGTAAAGTATGGCCAACCTTAAGCTGCTTCTTCGAGCTCCTTTCCTTATGTGTTTGATATGAGATTTTGCACATTTTGGTGCATATTGGTATCATTTGGCACTAGGGCTGGAACCAAAGTATTATTCCCTTTCCAAATTCTTAATTTAATTTTTCTTTTTTTTTCTTTTTTTTTTTTTTTTTAAACTGGCAAGCTTTTCCTTTTCAGTAGGAAGCTGCACTTAGAAATGGACAAATGAGATTAAAAACTTGCATATTAATGTATTTCAAGATAGTACTTTTTTTCCAGAACATGGTGAAGTGAGCCAACCTTTTAGGAGAAAGAAAGAAAAAATTAGAAATGCTTGTTTTGTAGGAAGAATACTAGAAATGCTGTTTGTTTGAACCCAAAATGAGGACTGAACTCTGCATCCAAAATAAATTTTGCACATTAGCAAAGCACTTACTAACCTGACTATAAATGATGAGCAGTGTGGCACTGCCCCTCATCTAACTAATATTAGAAAACCAAAGATACCTTAATATCGGTCATAAAATTTGAGGTCTAAATTCTCCTGATGTCATTTCATTTACAACAAAATTCCCAGCAAACCTATGTCTCATAGGTGAACGTTGAATGCTGAGCAGATCTTATGGGGAGTCTTTTCCAGAGCTCTGCAGAACTGGGTCCTTCCTGGGAGGGATACACAGGGATCCAGAGGGAAACAGAGCTGCCTCTTGGCAAGCTGGGGCGACACGCTCTTTAGCAGCACAGTTTGGGAGTAGGACTTAAGAAAGGTTAAGAAATTGCACTTGAAGCCAGCTGTTGGGGTTCTGGGTGAATAAAGAAGTTATTATAAATCTATCCTAAGTTCCCTTTTCCCAGAAGGGAAACATGGGATTAACTGTTTAAGCACAGGGTACAGGAAAAAACTGCTGGAAATAACCTTCCATCTCCAAAGAGCCCATGGAGTAGACATTGGCACGTTTTTTTCTTGGGGGAGCGAGTGGGAGCCATAGTCATTCCTTGGATTGTTTTTCCTGACCCTAGTTGCCAAATATCCATCCCACTTTTTTTAATAACCTTTCTCTTTTGTTGTCAGTCAGGGTTGAATTAAAAAGCTGCTGGTTCATTCCCAAATGTTGATGCTCTTTGGATGTGTTGGAAATCCCTTTTTTTCTCCATTTTTCTGCTCTGGGTGGCCAGTTCAAACCCTTGTGCCTCAAGAGGCATTGAACATAATGCAATTTTCTGAAAAATAAAATTGTTTGGCTGCTTAATGTTTAAAAAAAACCAACAACCAATGGCACAGTGATAGGAAAAGGTTGTGTCTGTGTTTTTAAGTTTTTCTTTATTCTGCTTTTTTGCTGCTATAAGATTTTCTTGAATTTCTATTTTAAACTTTTCATGCATTTTACTGTTTCTAGTCTCAAAGTGTGATATTTTTAATAAATGAAAAAAAATTTTCCATTACGTGAATGAAATTTTTAAGCAGATTGAGAGCCTATATTTATGTCTCATTCGTATACTGGAAAAAAGAAAAAGTCAAATTTAAATTGTGAAATTAGTTTTAAATACTAAGGAGCCATCTTCAGTCTTGTGAAACTGCAGAGTCAGGCTCTTCCTCTAGTCTTTAATTATTTCCTTTGTCGTTTTATACATAGGAAGTTATCCATAGCAGGGAGATAAATACCAATTGGACTTAGAGTAGAAACTATTCCCTGACTCTCGTTGGGGGCTGGGGAAGGGGTGGTGTGGGACAGAACATAAACAAATTGGTTCAACCAAACAACTCCCTTGTAAAAAAATAAGTGCCTAAAAAAACTGGAGGTGTCACCTATTGTCTACTCCAAATTGGAAGCTGGGTGAAATTCCTGCATGGCAATTGCTTCATGCAGCACCACACACAGAAAAAAAGCCCTTTCTAAAGATGGATATTCCTCTAGGTGCAGGTATCTCGTTTGTAATATACCTCAGCATCCACCACCCAGCCATTAAATTGCGGAAGTGATTGGAGAGTATAGTACTGGAAAGTAGAATAGCATGAAAAACTTAAATTTTGTGGACATTACCTTTCTGTAATCAGCTGCTGTATCATTTTTGGAGGTGGGGTTATTCCGAAGGTGTGCACTAACCAACCCTTCTCCTCCTCTTCCCACCCACATGTTAAGTAGCAATGCAAGCAGTATTTCCTACCATACTTCACTCCCAGTATTTTTTGAGATGTTTGTATAACATGGAATTTAAAATCCACCTATGATTGTATATGAACTGCAGAAGAGCCCGTTTATTAATAAAACTAAAACCAACAGCAATGTTTTGTAATACCGGGGTGGGAGAGGATGGGGATGAAAAACAAAAACCAACCCAAATCCTGGCGAATGTTGTTAGGTTTGACTTCCCTTTGGTTTCTCACTGATTGAAGTGTTCTGTTGCAGGAAGGTGTTTAATTGGATTTTCTCTGCTTCAAAATACACTTCCAAACATCTGTTACTCTGTGTGATTTCTTTAAAAAAAAAAAAAAAAAAAAGAGTTATTTTAATATATGTTGCACAAAACCTCTGGATTTAAAACTAAATGAGTCTTGTTTATGTTTCAGCCGATGCACGTAACCAGAGACACGTTTACCTGCCTTTCATGTGTCTGGCTCCCACCTTGTTTTCCGTCTGGATTTTCCCTTCCCAGCAGGAGCAGTAAGGGGATTGTGCTTTTTTCCCCAGCCATAGCGAGCTGGGGAATGGGGAGCATTTCCTAGAGCCACTCTGCTCTAGGAAAAAAGCAGGCAGCTGCCAGCCTCGTGCATGGGGTGAAATCCCTTTCAGTAAAGGCTAATTTTCTTCTGACCCAGATGGAAGCTGACAGTAGGGTGTTTTCTAGGGGAGAGAAAGCAATACAAAGTCAAATATCCCTAACTCTCAGCATAGATGGATGGGAAAACATCAGTTCACTCCATCACTGACCCTCACTTCCCAGAACATCACAGTCAATGCCTGGGTAGAAAAGCTCTAAGCCGTTTACTGCTCCTGACTGTCTTGGTTTGCTTTCAGAAATATGGTGCCTGGTGTCAGCTTCTAAGCAACAGCACTGCCTAAAACAAGCAGAGAAAAAAAAATCCAACACCCTTCCATGAGCAACTTTTTAAAATTCAGTATGGTAAATCTGTTCGATATGGGGTTTTGTGTGTGTACATATATACATATATATATAAAAAAAGAGAATTTTGTACAATGCAGCTGAATATTTCTGTTTCCTTATTTCTCTGTAAGGAGTGTGAACATTTGTGTACTACACACTGAAGTCAGGGAGGGCACAATGGGGTCTGAGACCAGCTTCCCTTCCCATTTGCCTCATCAAAAGCTTTTGTCATCTCTTTCTAGCAGTCGTTCCAGCATAATGTTTCCGTTTATGAGTAAGCTTTCTCTGTCTGTTGGAAGCCACTCCTGTTTAGGCTGCAGAAACATTCAGCAAAGGTCTATTAATCCCAAATCCTCACTGTTCTGTGTTTTATAGAATAGAAAGCCAAAATCTTTGACTCTTGACCTTTTCCGAAGCACTTGCCACTGACCTAATGCAGCTCTCAAAACCACACCATCAGCATTTGGGTGGCACTGCAGATGGCTGATGGCCTCCCACCCTGCTAGCTTTGCCATGGAGACTCCTAAATCCACGGTCACGCTCCTGAGGCCCGCTTTCCAAAGGTGCTGAGCATCTGCAGCTCCCACTTAATTCCAAATATTGGGCTTTTGGAGACCAGCTTTCCACACCCAGCTTGTCTATTGGGTCCAAATGGCAAGTGGGAGTTTGAGACCTCAAAGGTTTATGTCACTTCTTCCTGTGGTATTGGTCAGGTGGTGAGGGGGAGGCCAAAAAGGCTTGTTAAAATCAAGAGTCTCTCTGTTAATTTAGAAGATGAGCTGGAGAAAGAAACACTTTAGGGATTCCTCAACCAGGACTGTAGTATTCGTACCTTCTTGGTAGGGAGCAGGAACCAGACATTATTTCCACAATGCAGTTTTAGCTTTTAGCATTAAAACCTTCCTTGGTCATGAAGTTGGGCATAGTGGGGTGGAGTGAAAGGATCCAAACTAATCGCCTGCATTAGAAATACCACACAAATGGGATCTGTGCTCCCATACTGGTTTAAAAGGTAGTTTTATGGCAAATAGCAGTTGTCCTCTCCCCAGCAACCTCAGCTCTGTACTTAATTATAATTCAGTTCCTCTGTTCTTGGCTTCTGCACAGATGCTTTCCTTGCAATGTTAATGAAGATCTAAGGCCTGATTTAAACCTTAAGAAGGACCCTCTCCCTGTTGTATGGAGAGGTAACTGATCTAAGCACATCCTTACCTAATACACCAGGCAGCAGCAGAAGGTGGTTCAGCTAAAATCAGGCCGTCAGCATAGAAGAGCAGCAGGTCATTGCCCTGCTTGGTCACCACAGAGCTGGGATGTTCTTCTGGGTGGTCTTCACAACCAAAACTGCCCGGTAGGAAGTGAAGCAGCGCGCAAGACTCGCTCAAGTTCACCTTGGCTTCAGAAGGAGTATGGTACCAGCACCAAACATGTGCTTTGGAAAACCTCACCTACCTGATTTTGCACATTCCAAAAGGCAATGAAGGCCTTACCCGGAGCGGGGGGCAGAGGGCCCGATTTGTTAGAGACTGCAAAAGAAATGAGCCCTGAGCAGAGAGGTTTGGGGCTTTGTAATAGACACTATTATTAGCTGAGTGTCTCCCTCTCCCAGTGAGGAGAAAGCACCTTATAATACACAACTCACCAGCTTTTTGTAAGGTTACAGTAGTATAACCACGTACCCTCCCTTTCTCACCCTTCAGTGTTCAAAGGCGATACAAACCCCGAGAGGAAACCACTTGTGTTAAGTCTCTATGCCAAGCATCAGCCAAGAACTCACTTAAAAAACAATTTTAGAAGCTTTATGAGGCTTTAAA